CATCCAAACCGGAGACCAAAACCAACAAGTGACCATACCACGACGACCGGGACGACGAGACGAAGAGATCGCCGTCGAGATCGCCGCCAGCCGCCGCCGGACGCGCCGCCAAGCGCCGCCACAAGGTTGCAGTTGCTGGAGCTTGTCGGAGCGCGTGAGAGCGCGTGTGAACTCCGATTTCCGATCGGTCAACGCCGTTGACTTCGCCGTGACGTCAGCTTTCTGGATTGGTCAAGTTTGTTCGATTCCGAGAAGATTTGATTTGCGGTCAACTGTCCGGGCCAGCCAGATCTACATAATTTTTAAGCAGTAAGTTTTCTTCATCAAACCTTTAGATCCGCTGCGCATAGGTTTATGTTGAATGTTTGTCTGTGATTTGTGCATATCGAGATCCTCGTGGGTTCCAACACATTCTAGATATACTTGGAGTGCAAGTCAAGACAATTAGTTATTTGGTAATATTAGGATTTTATTTCCATGTTGCTTTTATTTATTAGTAGTAGAAGATGTTAGGAGATTTATTAGCTTTAGGATTTATATTGTTGCATAGAATAGGAGATCTAGATCTATTAGGCTTAGAGGTAGTTGGCATCTATAAATACCCCATGTACCTCATCATATTTGAGAAATTGAATTGAGTATTGAATTGGTGAGCCAATTGAGGGGAACTTTATGTTCTAACGTGTGATAAACAAGGCCGTCAGTGCGTGTTTATATACAGTGTCGGAGAGAAGGCCCTGAGAGCGTCTCGAAGTCACAGTGTCTAGAAGAAGGCCCTGAGTGCGTCTGCTAGATACACCTATCGTGGATAAACGAAGGCCCCGAGTGCGCCGTTTATTCACAACCCACGTATAAATAACAACACCGATCAGCGGTCCTTCATCATTGGTGCTCTCGTTGAGAGTTGTTTCATTGAGAGGTGCTGATCGTGTTTTAATTTATCCTATCTTTTTCTTTTTTTCGGTTTGCCTTTTGCTGAGGGGCCGAATTTCTCTTCTTTTTTTTTTGGGTCGAAATTTTCGAATTTGTTCGAATTTTTCATTACAAAAAAAAAAGTGTCATCTTGTTAGTCCTTTGTTTGATTTTTTTTCGGTTATTACCTTTTGTTGAGGGGCCGAATTTCTTTTTTGTTTCTATTTTTTGAGTCTTGTTGGGGGTTCGAATTTTCGAATTTTTTCCCCTATTTTGTTCGAATTTTTTTTAGAGTAAAAAAAAAAAATTTATGTCTTACCCACCAATGGATGAGTTGGATTGGGAAGATCTGGAGATGTTGGAAGGTTTGGAAAGAGAGCTCACACCATGGGAAGCAACATATCTTGAGGAGCTTCATGAGCGAAGGAATATTGAGGAGTACGAACGTCAACTCATGGAAGCCCGAGAAGCAATGGTGATCGATGCTCATAACCACGAAGAGGAAGGCGCGCTTAATTTTCTAATCCTTGAGGACAAGGAAAGTCTCGAAGAGGAGGGGAATGATACGGAAGTGGTCATCAACCCCGGTGAGTCCGACGATGATGATGGCGATGGTCTTGATATTTGGTTGGAGAACATGTTGGAAGAGCCATCAAGCCCGATTTACCGGCCATCATGTGTACGAGATTGGCCAAAAGGATGTGGTCCACGAGCTAAACTCAAGCCTAGGAAGCGCAGGACAAAAAGGACTCGAAGGAAACACAAGGCAAAGGCTAAAGAAGAGAAATGTAGGTGCGAGCCTTGTGCAAAGAAAAGACGAGCTCAAAGGAAGGAGGCTAAAAGGCGTGGTTTGCGATGGGTTCAAAGTGGATTGTGGATACCGGCGGATGATTGTGTGAGTTTGAAGGGTTGGGATCCGTGGCCCGAGCCAACGGGGACGGACGGTGACAAAGAAGGCGAGGATGATCGGCCAACGGGCGAAGGGCGCGCATCGGCCCGTGATGCGCGCAGCTGGACCAAACAGGCCACACACGGGGACGCGACGGACGAACGAGTCACGAGCGTCGACTGGGACGCATTGGCGTTTGGCAGTCGGAGGGAACAAGGTGTACGCAGGTACACGGCTGAGGAGCGGATCATGGGTACGCGCAACGCAGATGATGCATGCGATTATGCGCCAGGCGAGGAGTCGGGCGCGCAGGGGCACGCGAGCGTTGGCACGGACGCGCGCGAGAAAGTCGGCAGGGACGAGGCGCGCGACAGGCGCGCGAGTATGGGCTACGCGGAAGAAGTCCTAAGCTACGAAGGATTAGGCAACGCGGGCGATGCACTGGCAGGAGCGGACGATCGACTTCTAGCAGACATAGGAGTGCTGAGAGGTGAAGGACACGCTCGCGAGATGGACGACACGAGCGAAG